AGGCTAGGTTTTGTTGAATCGAGATGGGCTCCTTCTCAGGGTGGCCCGAGTGTAAAATGCAGAAGACCCAGGGGCCTTTCTCTTCCTGTATGGTTGAAGATTACTGAACAGGGAGGCAGGAAACGAGTTTTAAAAAAAAAAAAGCCAAAAACGGAAGTGCTGTCATGCGTACCTTGGGCCTCACCCCATTAGCAGTAAGGACTTTATCTTATTTTTAAGAGTGGGGGATACCGATCGGCCTCATTTACTTTTTGTTCTTTATGCTGGTCATTTGGCCCAGGGACAGCCCATCAGGGACCACTGTGTACCATAGGTGGAGTTGGGGGAAGAAAGGGATTTCATTATTTTTTCCCCCTTAGGTACAGAATATATGTTAGCCTTCCAGATCCTAAAACGAGAATCGTGGTCCCAATCTGATGAGAGCACTGATTTAGAAATTATTTGAGAGTTGTTTCTTTCAAACACCTTCCTGTGTTTTTCACAATGTATTTTGAGTAGCAGAGTCAGCAAATGAGATGAAGATGTTACTTATTTTGGATGAGTGCTATACTGGTATTTTCCCTTAGAGCTACAGTGAAGTCTAACTTTTGGGGGTTTGTGACATTTTGTGACTTTTCTCTCCTCCCACAGGTCAGCAGATTGAAACCCCAAGCCACAATACAAGAGAAAAGATGAAGTTTTCTTCTACTCCCGTAAAGAATGACAGCTTGGAGACCCACAGGGGCAGGTCTCCTCTGCTCTATAGGCCCCGTATGAGTGGAAATCCACTCCCTAGCAGTGAGGTCTTGGTTTTCCATTAATGTGACCCACCCACTGCCATCATAGTGAGCCTATTGGGTTTCAGGGGCTGTAAATCTTTACGGGAGTAGAAAGCCTCATCTCTTTCCTGTGATAGTTTTAAACAGCTGATCTTGCACGTAACAACCAGTGCAGCACCAGGGGCTCATTATTCTGACTCATAGTGACTGTCAGATATATGACAGTTTTGAGTCTCAATCTTTGAGGAGTTTACCCCATATCTTTCTCTTCGATGGGCTGCTGGGTGTGAACTGCTAATTTTGTAGCTGGAGGCCGCTGTCTAACCCACAGCAGCACCATGACGCCTCCTGAATGTGGCTTTTGAATTAAAATAGACTTTACTTTCGAAAGCACTTTGACAACTAGATAGCTGAACTCGATGAAAAATTGTGGGTACTCCCATAATTCTGCCCTCCATTATATTTGTTGACATTTTTTAGAAGCAGTCATTTTACTCACATCATCCAAACCAAGTTACAAATGGACAAAAGTAAAAAAAAGAATGTCATGTAATTGGACATCCTTACAAAATGAAATGCCTTTTTTTTTTTTTAAGAGGCAGCTTTGTTGCTGTGGAAACGTACTCCAGATGTATTTATTTATTAGTTTTAAAATGATTCCATGTATGTGTGGATTCTTTCTTAAAGATGATCTTAAGCCCACAAACTTGTATCTCATTTTGAAAGCTTTGGAGGAGTGCATTGTGGTTACCTGTGAGGCTAGGGATAAGGGAGGAAGAGGAAAATGAGGAAGAAGACCATGCGGTTTCTTTTTTACTATAAATGTGTATTACTTTTACAGTAAACACAGTTCAAGGTGCTTTTTAAAAAAAAGTAGTCTGATTTCCACTATGCTCCAGCTGCCTGTTAACAAATTTTAAAATGTGTGTGTGTCCATGTCATATGTTTTTCAAAATCTGTGCACCTATATTTTAATGGAGTTTCTTCTTCTTTGGGGAGGTTCCAGGTAATGAACCCAGAGTTGATAGTGTATATGTCTTTTAGTACTCCATTAAAATGAATGTTAACTAGGGCTAATATATGTATTACCATCTTGATAGTTCAGCTCATTTTAGAAAGTTGATTGTGTGAGGGGGCTTTGAAAAAGTTCATGGAAAAATTCTATCATTTTTTAATTCCACTTTTCCATACTCTTTGCTTTGACCTCTCATCTGAATGTCATGGATGAGTTTTATGTTTAATCCATAATTTAAAATCTGGTTTCTTAAGGCAAAAGATCAGTTACTTTGACAGAAATGAGAACAATGCTTAATTCAAGTAAAAATGTGTGCATTGGATGTTAAGGTTTTAGTTAGTTTTAATGTATTCCAATTTTGTATGGAGATCATTGGTTTAAGATGAAAAAACATCTCATAATACACAGGAATGCTATGATCTCTCAGATTTCATTTTTTAAATATATATTTCTAAATAGAGTTGCCCCAAAGTATTGTCATTTGTCCCTTACACAGTTCAGGTTTTAAAATTATAGCCTATTTGAGAAGTTGGTGTTTTTCTTCACCCTCCTGACAGGTCCCCAGATTGGATGTTCTGAGAGTGGGTAGTTCTGGTCAGTACTGTTTCCTGTCCTCACTAGCCCCCAACTAGGCCAGTGTCTCATTAGGGAAAACTTGAGGAATGCTTGAAACCTGTGTGCTTCATCCTCCTAGCTGTTCAAGCCTACCAGCTAAAGTAGGACTGGAGAAAGTGACCTGGCAGTCTGTGAGGC